ACAATAGATTTACGATTTCTAATATCCGTATAAGTTCATCAAGAAACAGTTCATTCAGTTATTTCATATGAAAATATATCATAGAAAAATAACTAACCTGATAAGCTGAATTATATAAACTAATATCTTTTCCCATATAAACATTTCATTGCACTGTTCCAAATGTTTATCTCACATGCTTTGGTGCACCTAAAAGTCATGTAAAAAGTGATAATTAAATTCATCAGCCATACTAAAAGCGAAAAAATGAATCAAACAATAAAAGTGTAGCACAATAATAACATGGTCCAGTACCTTTTACAGCTTTTACACTCAAGACCTCACTGATGCAATTGTATTTTTTTCTAGACCTTACCCGAGAAGAAGCCAATTTCTTAAGTGTGGCGCATAGGGTGGCCGGGGAGAAGAAGCCAATTTATATGCAACTTAAATGACCCCTCCGTCACAAATTAAGTCGAGGCTTTCTCTTTGAGGCCTGTATTATAGGGAAATCCAGAAAATGACAGATATCATTACAACTTTAACACCAAAGAGTGTCACAAAAGGAATACAATATGTGTAACGGTTAACACATTAAGGAAGAGGTTTTACTAAGAATGTTGGGCTAAGAATAACCTATCAAATATTAAATCAAGAGGTTTTACTAACAATCATCCTTCTTATTTCATTAGAGAACTCCTACTGCATATTAAATCAAGAGGTGTTACTAAGGAAATAACATTGTTTTTGTAATGTTATTCCAAAAAAATGTTTTAAACAGTTCTGTAGTCCTTATTCCATTAAAAATAATCTTTTACAGAAAAGATATTTAACATGTTTAAATTTAATGTTTTTTTGTAATGGATTAAGATGTACCTGCTCAAGTTTAAATGTTTTAAACTTTAAAGTGGTAGCATTAAACAAATCCCTTCCATAAATGAACAAAAATGGAGGCTGGAGGCTCAGACAAAGCTCACTAACAGACAAAGTGAAACAACTGACACCGCCATGGCTGCAAACACACGTGAGATATTCAAATCTGGTCATTGTGTTGCCACGCCAAGATTCGGGTCGGGTATCCCTAATGCCCATCAACTGGCTCAAGAAAATGAATTATCATCACAGCCCCTTTATAAACAACACTGCTGTCACCAACACTAACAATGTTAACCTTAGGGACCTTAGGTTAACCTTATGGATCTCATTTTCTATCTATGCCTCAGAAGCATCATCGGCAACAAGGGGAATATTAGATGTAGCTATTGTACTCTCTGGGACAAATTCATCATAGATAGCAATCCTTTTATCATATGCAATTTTCTCACAGGCAACATTTTCACAGTTAGTATTAGGGACAGGGGCATTTTCTCAATCAATAGCAGGGCCATCTTTTACAGAACTGTTCAAAAACAGAACATTTTTATTACAGAAATTGCCCTAAATATGAGTAAAAACGTTTTGAAATTCCAAAATAGGAGTATCATGTTTTTTATTTCCTGAATAGGAGTAATCTGCCAAGTTTGGAAAAAAATGACATGTTTAAAGCTTTGTAATGTCAAACTTGGCAGAAATTTACTCCTATTTAGGGAATAAAAACATGATACTCCTATTTTGGAATTTCAAAACATTTTTACTTCTATCTAGAGAATTCTCCCTTTTTATTATCAGCAATAAGGATAGAAGCATCACAAATAACAAGAGTGGGAGCTAACATTTCCTGCCCAGGGGCAGTGCAAATCATTATGGCATTGAAACCAGAAGTGCACCCACCTTCAACTGGAGCAGGTACATCCTGGGCAACTAAAGCAATAGGTACATAATAATTGGGGCGACAAAATCAGAAAAGTTACTAATTATTTCTGGTCCAGGGGCATTTAGTCCACCATCAACTGCACCAGAATCCTCATGGGCAACTTTAGAAAAAGCATCAATGGTAGCAGAAAGTTCAATAACACCGTGAGATGTTAAAGAGTCATCAACAGGGCAATCAACGCTAGTGAAACGATGTTACCGTATAGCTGGAGAAGCTTGAATCACGCGGACGCTTGGCACCAGAGAAGCTTGGTTCTCGCGGACGTCTCGCAAATCCGGCAAAAGATTTCTCCGCAAACCCTAACTTAATTTTGAGTTTATGGGGAGTGGGGATGGAAGCAGGTCGGATGTGGACCAAGAAGACCACAGAGAGAGCCATGGAGTCCGGTTGCGTGTGCGAGAAAGCAGTCCGCGATTACCTGCGATAGAGAGAGCAGACGGGTATGGCGAGGAGACTCTCACATAGCTGAGAGCTATGGCGAAGAGTAAAATGAGAATTGAAATGGGAAAAACAATCCGCCACTTCATTCTGTAGGGAGAGAGCAGTAAACGGAAGACAACAGGCGTAACCGCGAAAAGGATCTTCCATCCTACTGTTTTAACAGGAATAGGACCATGTAACGGCCATTCACACATTATATATATAGTAATGATCATGTACATATGGATGTACGGGGGGCTCCGTACGGACAAAGCCATTAGAGGCCCTTCCGGGTGGAATTTTTTGATGAAATTTTTTGAGCATGTTCTCCATCAAGTCTAGTTTATCCATACCAAATTTCAGCTCAAAATTCGATCGGGAAGGCAGTCAAATAAATTCTTGAAATATATGGCGCATTCTGCACACATATAATGTGCAGTATATTTCAAGAATTTATTTGACTGCCTTCCCGATCGAATTTTGAGCTGAAATTTGGTATGGATAAACTAGACTTGATGAAGAACATGCTCAAAAAATTTCATCAAAAAATTCCACCGGGAAGGGCCTCGGATGGCTTTGTCCGTACGGAGCTTCCTGTACATCCATATGTACAGGAACAGCCCTCTAGTAAGATATATATTGATCACGAACTTATATTCCTTATATATAAAGATTGATCACTTCAATCTTTACTCTTTTATTCATGTATCTAACTTTGGATATACGGAGTATAACTTAATGTACGTATATGATGAATCTACCCAAAATATAATGGTAACGAAGCTTTCTCTCCATGCCATAAAAAGTACACCTTTAATTTCTTCAGTATATCTATTCACTTGTTTTTGCTATTATAAGTAGTCAAATTTAGTTTGATAAATAAAATCAGAAAATAAGAAATTATCTTCTCATAATAATATGATTAAAAATATACATTTCTTTTCAATTATAACTATACATCAAGCCACAGCTTAATAACGGGATAGTTAAATGACATATCAAGACACCATAATATAATTATGAAATAGATTTAATTTAAGAAGATAAACAAGCATAAGATATAATAGTAAAATGTTAGATTATAATCATATGATTAATTTAGGAGAAGGAATGAATATAATTAATTTAGGAGAAGGAATGAACACAGATCTCATCAAAATGTTTCCTAAGATTCCTTTCGTTCTCCATCTCACTTTGCCTTCACTTCTTCTCACAGCCGATACCCCCTCTTTCCTTTCTCTTTATTCATCATTATTGTTGGGTGATTTCTAAAACTACGGGAATTAGGTGGAGACATGGCAAAAATACGGGATATTTTTGGGGGTTTCTGAAATAGCGGGAGTTGGCATGTCAAATCAGAAATGTTTATTAATCGGGCATTCTGGTGTTGGTTTTATTAATTATTATTTAATCATGGACAATCCTCTCTAGACATTTTGAAATCCAGGTGTACAAAGCCTTTGGGTAATATACGGAGTATTTAGCATTATTTGTTTTTTTTATAGTTTGATGTTTTATTTAAAGAATATAGTTTGATGGTAAAATAAATTTTAATAAACTCAACTTATTTAATGTTATTATTTATTACATTTGTTCTGAAAAAGTACGTCATATTGACTTTTTTTGGAGTAGAAACAAACGCATCTAAACTGTTAGAATAGATTACATTATTACGGGGTTAGTGGTCTGGAAGGATACATTATATCGGATCTTTACCGTTTCATGTCTCATCTCATGTAGTTTTTGACTATTCATTATCTTGTATTTTTGTTATCATTTAATGAATAAGCTAGTTATTTGATTTTCAAAAAATATAAAATTGATGTGCTATTAAACTCATAATACAATAACTATTGAGTGAATTACCTAAATAAGATTAAAAGATGGCTAAAAATTACAAAATAGGAATAGTAGTTTTAAAATTGTCAAAATAGGAGTGTTTGTGATTGTACAAAAACGCCCCTGCCAACACATGCCAAAATCGAGTTTTTTTTGCCTCAATCCGTCTACTGCTGCCGGTCGCTTCGCTGCCGCTAGTCGCTGTCGGACTGCCCCAATTACTCAAGGGAACTAAGGGGCATTTAATTAATTAGATTAGAGGTATTAAAGATAGAAAATTAATGTTTAATTTAGTCTCATTTGTGAAAATTTTAGATTTTAGTCCTATTTATGCAATTATGTTTTCATTTACTCCTATTTAGGGTAATTACAAATACATGTAATATTGATACCGGAGTGAATAATGCTTTCTCCATCTCACTAACATTGGAGGTAGTGTGGTTCTTAAGAAAAGTAGTTTTATGTGATTGATAATGAATTGATAAAGTAAGAATAAAGTAAGAAAGATTTAAAATCATGTTAATTTTATCAAATTTGATATGAGACAATTTTAGTGGGACGAACCGAAAAAAAATGAAACAATCTTAACAATACGGAAGGACTATTATTTTATTGTACTATGAGTATAATGTACACTAAAATATAAGGGCCTGTTTACTAACAGAAATATTTTCTGTTTTTTCAAAAATTTGGAAAACTGGAGATAGAAAAGTTAGAAAACATGTTTACCAAACTATTTTCTAAAATGAAAAAATCGAAACATGTCTCACTTTTACCGTGTGAAATGGAAAACGCGTTTTATGCGTTTTCTAGTTTCAGAAAACTCGGTGCTACAGTATTCATTTACTTCGTTCCTCCTACCACGCTTTCATTTCGCCTTACCTTCCTCCGCCTAACTTCATTACTCGGTGTTAAAGTCTCACCTTCCTCCTCCCTTCCAGCTTTAATTTCCGACTTGAGCATCGCCAGACGACTTGAGCACCTCTTCTCCAACACGCCACAACTTCATATTTGTCCGAGCAAAGCTTCCCTTCACCCTCCTCCATGGCTACCACGCTCCAGCTTCACAAATCAGGCCATCCCTGGTAGAGTTGAGCCCCGACATCACGGCATCTCCCAGTTCTTCCGTCGGCTCCTGTTCTGCCAACGATTTGAAGGTAAGTTCCGAAACTCAATAAATTTAAAACCAATTTCAGCTTCCTTCGGCTCCTGTTCTCCCTGTTCTTCAGTCGGCTCCCAGTTATTCTATCAGCTCAATAATTTTTTTTCATAATTTAAATCCGATTGGAATCTGAAAACCAATTAAGCTTCTTAAGCCTGAAACCATTGTTAGGGCATGTTTTTCTTAATTTTACTTTCACAATTAGCTTTAGTTTTAGTGTTGAATTAGATATTTACATTAGATATAGTTTTGAAAGCATTGAATTCAGGCATTCAGCTTCTTAAGCCTGAAACCATGGTTAGGTTTTCTTTGTTCTGAATCCTTAAAACCAATTCCCTTTAATTTTTTTAGCTTTACAGTGATGGACATCCATTTTGTGCTTCGTTTGGAATTAGCTTTACTTTTTTTAATTTCTGGTAATTCCTGATGTACTAGTCTATGATTAAGGGGTATTTCATACTTTGGGTTGCAATCATTCAAAACAGAAATGTAGTACGAGCAGACAATATTCTTGATTCATGGGTGCAGGGCTGCAATTTATGGATTTATTTTACAAGGCAGATTCAGTCCCTTTTATTGTACAAAGCACATTTTTTTACATCAAGAGTTTATTTTACTTCATATATGTTTCAGTCCCTTTACATTCAGTTTATGACATAGTATTTAGTAGTTTTTTAAAGGCAATTGTAGATAGTTGTAATAAGTAGTTTTTAGAGATTGTTTTTATTTTTTTCATCAAATGGAGCTCTTATATGAATGACAACAGACTCCAAAATGAACATCCATTACCAAGTTAGAGCCTATGATATACATGTCATGCATTGATGGACATGGTTGATTGTACATATCAAGATTCCAAACATAAGTCCATTCACTCACTTTATATGCACCAACTTTGGTTCCATTAGTTGCCGAATCCCAGCGTCTGGGCCAAAAAAAGTAGTAGTTTTTAGATAGTTTTTATACAAATATGTCATGCAACTTTTGTGGATCTGAAAAACATTCCTTTTGATACTGTTAGCAGGATTTCAAGGGAGGTGCTGTTTTTGTTAGACTGTTTTGAGTTACTCCATTTTGAAATATCTTTGTTTCTGTAAGAATAGGAAAGGAAAAGTAGCCACAATACAGAACCCAAAGCTAAGATTAGCTCCAAAAAATATCTTCCAGCTACAGTTTTTCATTACTATAAAAAACACATGCATAGAAGTTGAGTATAGTTTTTGGATATCTTCTCCGTCAGATATGGTAGAGGGGGAGGACCCTGCAAAAATATTTAAAAGAATTCCTCCAGCTGTTAGCTATTAGGCTCTCATGTAAACTGTTTCCCATTCATTAATCCCTAACGTCTGATTCGAAGCAAGAAAAAACTAAGGGGTAAAAAAGGAAAATAGAGAAGAGAGTGGGGGGGGGTAAGGTCAAACTCGATGAACACAGTCCCTCTACATACATTTTATGGCATAGTATTTTGTATTTTTTTAATTCCTGGCATTTATGTACTTTATTTATGCGATTTTAGATAGTTTTAATAAGTTTGTAGATAGTCCATATATCAAATTCTTATTACTATCTGACTATATATATATATATATATATGTATATGTATGTATGTATATATATATATGTATATGTATGTATGTATATATATATATATATATATATATATATATATATATATATATATATATATATGCACACAAGGTATATTGCTACTCTTTTTATTATGTCATCTAACTTATGGTCTGATGAGTTAGATGAGTTTAACTCAAGAAGAAAAGGATGATGCCATATGGCCTGATGAAAAAGAGACTTTGTTTTTGACTGTGCTATATGAAAGAGTAAAAAAAGATCCCACTGGGAATCCAACATTTAAGGGTCGAGACTGGAATGATATGGATAATGAGATGTTAGTTCGAGGTCGTTATCAATATGGTAGTGACAGGTTACGGGGAAAGGACAATAGGATGAAGCTCATACATAGACAATTTGGTCAGTTATTGGCTCATACTGGAGTTACATATGATTCTAGTCGGAATGTGGTTCATGCCACAGAGGAATGTTGGCAGAAATTTTACAAGGTGGATGTTTAGTTTAATGAATTTATGTATTTTTGATCATTTTTTGTAATCATATTTTACTAAGCTCATTCATTGATAGATGAGTACTACAAACATGCAGATTAACAGGGGCTTTAAGACTTTTAAAAGGAAGGGTTGCAAGAACTATCCATTAATGAATCTTGTTTTTGGACAAGGGAGTGCAAGTGGAGGACTTGCTACTCCTTCCACCCAAGTACCGACACACTCGGATGAGGAAAGAAGGAATGAGGATATTTTCTTACATGGTGAAGGGGGCATGAGCTCAGAGCGATCACACTCTAAAGGGAAACACAAAGTTGAGGAAGCGATGGGATCAAGCACTAAGGACTGGAAGACTGTTTTGGCTAATGCGGTCCACGCATACACGACAACTATGAGTGAAAAAGAAAAGAGACGTCGGTCTCGAGATGAAGATGTTAGCACCACATCTATAGGTGCAGCGGCAAATTTTTCTATGACCCGATGCGTTGAAGTCATAAATGCCATGCCGAATGTGTCAACTCGAGCTTATAATGATTCCATCGACGCACTAACAGATGTTGTCCGACGTGAGGCCTTTATGGCTATGCCCGCAGACCGACAATTGGATTGGGTTATGCGATTTGATTCTAACTAGTTATATGTTAGATTCACTTAAACCGTGTTTGGATTTCGTAATCTATGTTACATGTTTTATGTATGTGAACTTGAACACTTTGTTAGAACAATATTTATGTATGTTTGTTTGTGGAATTATTAAATGTGGTTGTTACGTATTATGTGATTTTGAGTTTGTATCGCATCTGAAGCATGCATGTTATATGCTATTGCAGATACACAATGTCACATAATGGCAGTGGTGATGATATTTCAGACTCTGCAAGTGATGAAGATGATGAGTTCGGGGCCCTACTGTTAATGGCTACATGTGTTTTAGTTGACGTTGAAAGAATTCCATGTCGAACGTCTATACTCACAGGTAACGGTTATATCGATGAGTTAATGACAGGTCATCCACTAAGATGCTATGAAAGTTTTAGGATGAACCCACACGTATTCCTGCGTTTATGTGAAAGGCTTAAGAATTTGGATGTTCTACACGATTCTAGATATTTAAGGGCAGAAGAGCAATTAGGAATAGGTCTTTTAGTGTTATGCCAAGGGGCGGGGCAACGTACATGTGCAGAGCGTTTTCAACATTCAATGCGAATTGTTCACTTATGTGTGAAGCGTGTGGTGAGAGCACTTGCACGATTGGGCAAAGAAGTTATAAAGCCAGTTAATAGGGGCCCTGTTCAACCGGAAATTGTAGAAAACCCCAAATGGTATCCTTATTTTGAGGTATGTGTAAGCGTAATTACCTTTTTCATTACTTAGGTTAACTCATACTATTAATGGTGCACACTTTTTTGTAGAAATGTGTAGGTGCCATTGATGGTACTCATGTAGCAGCCTCAGCACCCGCTTCTAAACAAAAGACGTTTCGCGGTAGACATGCAACGGTCACGCAAAATGTCATGGCAGCTTGTAATCATGACATGTTGTTTACGTATGTATACGCGGGCTGGGAGGGAACAGGCAATGACTCTCGAGTATTTTTAGATGCAATTACAAGAACCGAAAATGGGCTGCCCATGCCTCCTGTCGGTAATACAATAATTATGCAATTGGTGTTAATAAAGTCACTATTTAACAAAAATGGGTTCCCATTGTAAATGTTGTTGACTTCATTATAGGTTATTACTATGTGGTTGATGCTGGCTATCCAAATGTTCCGGGTTTTCTAGCCCCATACCGTGGAGAGAGTTATCACTTAAATGATTTTCGAGGCCGAGGACGAATACGCAATAAGCAAGCTTTATTTAACTACCGACACTCATCCGTGCGTAATGTGATCGAGAGGTGTTTCGGAGTACTAAAGGAAATATTTCCCATTCTAGACATATCACGTGGTTACCCATTGAGAAGACAAGTTCAAATTCCCATAGCTTGTTGCGCATTGCATAACTTCATTCGCATGCAAGATAGGAACGATGATTTGTTCTTGGAGTACGAGGAAGATGATATGATAGTTAACACGGAGGCAAGTACAAGTGAGAATGGATCACTCGAATTTGATATGTCTCAACAACAACAAATGCATGAAGTTCGAGAAAGTATTGCAATTGCAATATGGGATGATTATAATGTTTGAGATGTCGAAGTACAACTGTTGTTCTGATTAACATGTCACTTATTGAACTTTCAGTGTTGGTGAACATTTATGTTATTATTTTGTTATTTCAAATGTCCCTTTAAATGTGCATTTCTTTTTCGAAATATTAAGTAAACGTTGTATGGTAAAAATGAAATGAAAAATTGAAAAACTCTGGTAAACATGTTTTCTGATTTGGAAAACAAAAAACTGGAAAATGAAAACAGAAAACTGAAGGCTTGAAAATAGAAAATGAAAACAGAAAAATATTCCTGTTAGTAAACGGGCCCTAAAATTTTATGATGGTATATATAGGGGGTGTTTGGAACTGATTCTGCTTCTGCTTCTTTTTTAAAGCAGAAGCAGAATCAGGATCAGTTTTCAGTAGCTGGTCACCCCCCGCTTCTAAAAAAAACTGATTCTAGGAGTAAATTAGAACACCAAAATCACTTCTGCTCCCTGAAGGAGCAAAGAATCAGATCCAAACACCCCATATTCATAAATAAACTACGGAGTAATTAGCAATAGTAACCTAATGATACTCCATGAATGATGAACCCACTGCTACTACGTATTATACTAGTACTACGAAACTTCCAAGTATTATACTCTGTAGAATTATGCCACCATGAACTAAACACGTGGCATCAAGTACTATTCTACTACAGTACCAAACAGTCCGATATTTTCATCTATATCAGCATTCCCGTATTTTCATCCACGAAATAGCATCTTCGTATTTTGGGAACACGAACACAAAAGTCCCGTAAATCCGTCATTCTCTCATTATTGTTTCTTATGCATGTCAATTTGTCCATTATGCATGAGAGGGGAGGATCTATGTACAGGTGGGCTGAAACCTTGGGCAACTTAGAAATTTTCGATTTTTTTAGTGTAAATTTTTTCATTTTTCAAATTTAGCTCACCCCGCTAATGTTTAAGCCTAGTATAATTTTTAATCAGTCCAGGGCATCTAATATTCCTGGATCCGCCCCTGATGCATGGCCTATGATAAGTGTACACAGGCTCCACTATTGTTATTATTATAATATAAAACCTCCGTTTAAATAAATATTAAAAATGTAGGTGTTAATATTGTCACTGCATTTTATTGATTTTTTTTATATAATATTAGTCTAAGTTCGTAAAAGTAATACGGAGTAATATTAATTGGCAACCTCCCTTTTTAGTACTTTCAATAAGCAGGTCGATCATCTACCATAATAGTATCACCTAATTTTTATATTATTATTATTTGTTCGTTTTTTTTAATGTGTAAAATTGGGGACGTTACACGATCGGAGATCACCGTCCAAACCACCTGTAAGCGATCTGTTCTTTGGTCACCTCCTCATCTCCTACTTCCGCTGTATCAAAATCAAGCTCATTGTCTGTCTCCCCTGTTGAAAAGTCAACGACTCTCTAGAATCTTCTAGAATCTTCTTTATTAAGTTCTCTAGAATCTTTTATAAACTTCTTTATGAATTCTAGGAAGTGTAGAATTCTCTAGATAGAGTATTGAATAAGAGTTAGATAGAAATACTCTAGAATGTAATAGATGTGAGAATAATCTAGAATATAATTAATGTGGGAGGTTCTAGAAACACTCTCACCTCCTTAGGCTAGCTAGTATAAATAGAGGTGGATGGACACAACTCCATCACCACCAAGAGAGTGAAGCATCCTCAAGAGTGAGAGTAAGAGAGACTCCCCACCTTTGTACTCAATATTTTATATTAATAAAATTGTCTTTTATTCCTCCAAATCTCAACAAGTGGTATCAGAGCCGGTGATCAGGGGCGATTGTCCGTGAAGAGTTAAAGCGACGCAGAGGTACTATTAGTGCACAATCTGGGATTGTGAAGTCGATTGGTCTGGGACCAAACTTGCTTGGAATATTGATCGTCATATATTCAAGTCACTATGGATATCTCTAATTCGGTAAGTGGCGTCGAAAAACTTAACAATTCCAACTACAACACTTGGAGTGTTCGTATGCAATTTTATTTGCTTGGACAAGATTTGTGGGACATCATTAGTAATGACAACACATCGCCACCCACAAATGCTGAGGAATTAAGGAAATGGAAGATAAAAGCGGGGAAGGCCATGTATGTTCTATCCGTAACAATTGAAGACGAGTTGTTGCAGCACATCAAAGATGCAAAAACTCCAAAAGAGGCATGGGATACTTTGGCGGCACTTTTTGCTAGGACGAATGATGCGAAGCTCCAACGGTTGGAAAATGATCTTCTCTCGGTCTCTCAACAAGATATGTCGGTGAGTCAATATTTTAATAAAGTCAAAGCAATTTGTGACGAAATATCAAAATTAGATCCGCAAAATGCCATCACCGATACAAGAAAAAGAAGAATCATAATCCATGGGTTAAGACCGGAATTTAATGGTATTATTACCGCTACCCGTGGATGGGCAAAAGAGCCAACTCTAACGGAGTTAGAGAGCCTATTAGCCAACCAAGAGGCTTTAGATAAACAAATATCTAAAGTCTCAATCAAAGAGGATGAGACCGCCTTATATAGCAATAAAAGGAGTTTCGGACGAGATAGAAGAAGCGCAAGACCAACAAATATAAATCCACATAATGAAGATTGGCGAAAGAGGCCACAAGGGAGCTCTCATCGAGGGGGAGCTAATCAAGCCCGTCATGATAAAAATAAAGAAGAGAAGAAGTACAGACGGAGCAACGACCAGTGCTACAATTGCGGGAAGAAAGGTCATTTTGCTAGAGATTGCAGACTTCAAAGAGTTGAAGGAAATGCAGCAATATCAACTCTAAAGGAAAGCAATAGTGAAGAAGAATGGGATTTTCAAGTGGCCTATGCAGTGGACAATGATCAAGAACTTGCAGCTTCTTGCATCATTGAAGAAGAGGAAGAAGAAGAAACGGCTCTTGTCACGGTGAGTGATAGATTCATAAATTATGAAAATGACTGGATAGTAGATTCTGGGTGCTCCAATCACATGACGGGTGACATGAGCAAATTAGAAAACATCAACAAGTATGAAGGACGACGAGTTGTAGTCACTGCAAACAACTCAAAACTACCTATCACTCATGTTGGCCAAACAAAGATTACTCCCCGATTCAATGCTGAGCAAGTGGAGCTTCAAGATGTCATGCACGTGCCAGGTATGAAGAAGAATTTACTATCGGTGTCACAGCTCACAAGATCTGGCAAATATGTGGTGTTCGGCCCAGACTATGTTAAAGTATATCGGCATCTACAAGAAAATGAGGAACCAATCATGGAGGGACGAAGAGTTGAGTCTATCTATGTAATGTCTGCACAAACGGCATATGTAGATAAGACACGGAAAAATGAGACACCAGACTTGTGGCACGCACGTCTTGGGCATGTGAGTTACAAGAAATTAAAGGTGATGATGAAGAAGGAAATGCTAAAGGGTCTCCCCAAACTAGAAATCCACGATGATGTGGTTTGCGCTGGGTGTCAATATGGAAAAGCTCATCAGCTTCCATACGAGGAGTCAAAGTTCAGAGCCAAAGCGCCGCTAGAGCTAATACACTCAGACGTATTCGGGAAGGTAAAGCAACCTTCAGTTTGCGGCTTCAGGTACATGATTACATTCATCGATGATTTTTCAAGATTTGTCTGGGTTGATTTTATGAAAGAAAAATCAGAAGCTTTAAACAAGTTCAAGGTATTCAAAGAAAAGGTTGAGGCAGAAGTAGGCCACAATATCAAATGCCTACGCACAGATAACGGGGGAGAATACACGTCTGAAGAATTTAATAAATTTCTAAAAGAGTGTAAAATAAGAAGACAATTCTCATGCCCAAGTACGCCTCAACAAAACGGGGTTGCAGAGAGAAAGAATAGACACTTGGCGGAGACTGTAAGAAGTATGCTGCACTCGAAGAATGTACCCCCACGGTTTTGGGCCGAGTGTATGAAAACGGCAGCCCATGTGATTAACAGGTTGCCGCAAGCAAAGCTTGGATTTGTTTCACCATTCGAGAAATTACAAAATCTCAAGCCCACGGTAAGTCACTTCAGGGTGTTTGGTTGTGTATGCTACGTATTTGTTCCTGATCACTTACGCAGCAAATTTGATAAAAAGGCAATTCGCTGCATATTCGTGGGTTATGATGATGAAAGGAAAGGATGGAAGTGTTGTGATCCCACAACTGGAAAATGCTACACATCAAGAAATGTGGTATTTGATGAAACATCATCATGGTGGTCATCTCAAGAAGTTGTTCTTCCAGATTCACAAGAAATTGAAGAGATCTTAAAAGAACGAGAAAAAGAAAAAGGTGACACAAATGTGGAAGTATCAAATGAAGAACCACCTGAGATTTATAAAGGTCCATGGCAAACAGGAAGTCATGATAAGATTAATGAAGAAGCAAGGCCAAGTCAGTATGAGGAATTTGAAGAGCCAAATGAGTCTCTCCGAAGGTCGACAAGAAGAAGGAGGCCAAACCCAAAGTATGCAAATGCGGCACTAATGGAAGACAATGGGCCAAAAGAACCAGTTACTTTCAAAGACGCCTCACAAAGTCCCGAATGGAAAAGGGCAATGGAAGAGGAGATCAAGGCCCTTAGAGAGAACGAGACTTGGGAGTTGGTTCCTAAACCCAAAGAGGTATGTCCAATAACTTGTAAATGGGTTTATAAGTTGAAAACTCGGCCAGATGGATCAATTGAAAGATATAAAGCACGCCTAGTCGCTCGAGGTTTCTCTCAAAAGTATGGCCTTGATTATGATGAGACGTTCAGCCCAGTAGCGAAGATCACTACTGTACGAGTCCTACTAGCACTAGCAGCAAGACAATCTTGGAAGTTGTGGCAAATGGACGTCAAGAATGCTTTCTTACATGGAGAGCTAGATCGAAGCATCTACATGGAGCAACCTGAGGGATTTATAAGCAAATCACATCCAGAGTTTGTGTGCAAACTCAAGAAAGCATTATACGGATTGAAACAGGCACCACGAGCATGGTATGGGAAGATAGCTGAATTCTTGGTACAAAGTGGTTACTCAATTGCTCCTTCTGATTCAAGCTTGTTTGTGAAGTATATCGGTGGGAAAGTATCGGTCATATTGATATATGT